AGGAAAGTCCAAAAAATACAAAGGGAACCACAGTCTCTATAGGACACACCGCATTCATGTGTAAGTAATGTCCAGACTGATATAACTCTAATGTTTTTGCCCACAAAAAAGATATTCTAAGGCAAAAACCTTTCCTGCATGCACAATCACAAAATCACACAGCCTTTGGTTAGCTTTTACTCAAAGTCTAGAGCAGTAGTCAGTCAGGTAGTACCCAAAAGATGATGCTGTAAACTGAAGAAGAGTGCTTGCGTTGAAATGAGTAGAACTGAGTTTTATTCCCACGTCTATGATTTTATATATATAAAATAAATAAATTCTGGCAAGTTACTTAACCTGTCTGAGCTTCTGTCTTTGTTTTTTTCATTTTTGTTTCTTATGGAAAACCAGAGGTAATCAAAAACTGTTTTAAAATTATGGCTAAGAGACTGTCAGAAAACACATAGACTTATTCCCAACTTCACAGATGAGGACAGTAAAGCAGAGAAATATGCCCAGTCATTTAAGAGGACAAGTCACTTAAGTCAAATTTTTAGACAATGTAGAAAAAGTACTTACAAAGCAAGAAGGAGTATAATCATCAGATGTAGGATAATGATCATATTTTCAGGAACAGCTTCAATTGTACTGGTAACATTTTGTTTCTCAAATACAGTTTGGAGCACATGGAGTTATATATAATATATATATATATGATTTTTGAAATACTTAATAATCTTTTATTATAATCTTTATAGTACTTTATAATACTTTTTTTAAGTAACCACCAAACATTAATCAAAATATTTCTCTGGAATTTGAAAGGTCAATGGAGATAGTGAGTGGTTTCAAACATTCTCCTGCTGAGTTTAAAAGGTAAATATCACTATGCTTCCCTAATATAAGAATAAAAGAGTGAAATAGGCTGTAAATACATATATATACACACACATACACACACACACACATCACCAATTTTCCAGCTTAGTAAAATAGAAACATTACACAAATGGCACAAAACACAAAATGAACTGTATTATTTGTACCATGATTAGCCCATTTAAGAATATTGAAATACTAATAATTTATACTGTAAACATATGTCTAGGAGAAATATATTCAAGAGTCATATTTGAGAGTCTAATATTTAATCCTCAGGGATCTTTGCTTGTTTGTTTGTTTGTTTGTTTTTACTGAGACAAAAAGAAACTGCAATGATTTACCTAAAATAAATAAAGGCTCCTCTACCTGTAACTGGTACATGAAACTACCTGTAAAATCTAAGTGCCTCTATAATCTCTGAAATTTTCAAACAAGAAAGTATAGGTCATTCAGCAAAATATATTTACTGTATAATACCATAATAGCTATTTAATTGTTATCATTATGATGCAGATATATAATGGAAACAGATGTTCCTTTTTCCTTTCAGCAAAGCACAGGAAAAGCGTAAACTTGCTGATATTGCATGGACTGCTACCATAGCACAATAGAGGAAAAAAGACATTAGCACATGACAATATTAGTTTTTACTACACAACTAATTGCATAAAAAGTATAACTTGAGATCATTAAATCAATATAATTTTCAGCACCACAGAAGGGAAACAAATAGATTTGTATAACCAGCCTATTTCACATCTGCATTTGGGAAAACACTTCTGAGAAACTAAGTATATGCAAAATGCTACCACTGCTTTCAGAACACAAGGAAAAGACTGTTGTTCTGTTTTATTTGCTCATGTAACATGAATTAGAATGCTGCCTGTACAGAGAAATCTTTTAAAACAGCACCAGTATAAACTGGAAGAACCTTTCGGGAAAACAACCTGGCAATCGATACCAAGAAACTTCAAAAACAGTCTATACCCTCAGTCCAAGTAATTTCTATTCTAATAATATATCATAAGGAAATAACTAGAGGGATGATTAAAGATTTATTTAAAGTGTTATTCATCATGACTTTATTTATAATGAAAAATTAAAAATCTAACTCTCCAATAGTAGAATGATGATTAATTAAAGTATATATATTAAAACATTTTACAGTCAATATAAATGACTTTAATAATTGTAATTATATAGGAAAATTTTCATTGCACTATGTCAACTGAAAAATAGCAGAATATAAAGTAGTAACTACAATTTTTATAAATATATAATATATAAAAACAAATGCTTTGAGGAAAAAGACTTAGAGAAAATACACAAAATGCCATTTTTAACTTGTGAAAATTCTCTATTATGAGCAGATACTACTTTTTTGATTAGAAAAAGTTATTGTTTCTTTAAACAATTAAACAATTAAATAATTCCATTTCTATGCATTAATACACTTTGTCCTTGTCCAAAGTCTCAAAAAATTATTTGGGTCAAATAATCCGATAAATTGTCCTGAGGTTACACGGACATGTTATTTGATCCTAAAATCCAGCATAGAAAGAAAAGTATTTGTAAATTACATAGATAACAATTTTTTTTATCCTGAATTAAACAAGATCCTTACAAATCAGAGAAAATTTGAATGGGACAAGCATTATAAATGTTTACTTAAGAATTATTAATATGATGTGTCTTAAGTCACTATGTCAAGGAAGTTTTTCAATTAAAAATATTTCTTAAGTAAATAAAATAGCCTATTAATTGTTCTCCCAGTATGCCAATAAAAAGTTTGACATAGCTTTCGTAAGACTCCTAGTTTCATGATTGTATTTTTACGAGAAGGAGCTGATTTGTCTTAGGCTATTACTGTCTATTACTTCTAGAAGTCTTAAGGAAAGGTGGGAAGCAGCAAATTCTGGCAATCTGCCTAAAGAGAAATCAATGAAACAAATTAATCCTTCGCAGGCTGCAATGACACAGTAATCCATCATTCAGAGCTGCTTTTATATACCAAATCAGAGAGCAGAGGAAAGAGCCCTAGGGGACATCACAGACAACAACTTACACCAACACTGGGAAAATACTGAGGAATCAGTTTATTTAAAGAGGAGATAGATTTCAGTTGACTGCCTATTTCATCAAATACAGATTTTTTTCTTTTACAGTGTGGCAAACCCAAGGCCCAATGACTATATTTTAGAATTCAGTGCTATATATGCTTGCTGACATCAATTGGGGATGGGTGGTGCATGTTTTTAAATAATTAGCATCATTAATCAGTATGAACAAATATCTGGCTAGAGTAATATTACTTTTTCCATTAAATTTCCAGGTGTTAAACATATTCCCTGCTTTCAGTAGGGACTAACTATAAATTTACCTACTAATCTAAAACTTAAGTGACCAATTTCTGGTAAACCACATTTGATGGGGTTTTTTTCACACATAAAATGCAATCTTTTAAGATGTGTATAACTTCCTAAGTATTCTGTTAAGTTTAAAGACTTGAAAATTTTCATTTCTTCTCTTGTGGAATAAATTTCAATAGGGAAATTAGATTATAAATAACTTGTTTTAAAACAATAAATAGTACTTTGGCTTATAATTACAATTGACAGTGCTGAAAGAGAAATTTAAATGTGGTTTCTTTTTTTTAAATAAACTTATAATCAATGTACAGTCATACACTCACACTGAGTATATTTATTTACACATATACAAAAACATATGCATCTAAATTTATTAGTGCTTATGTAGAAATTTATGCACCTTCAGTATGTCTTACTAGAGTAATGTATACTAAATGGAAGTATATTCCCTAGATGAAAATTAATGACAAGAACTGTAAAATCACAGTGCATTACTACTGCTCAATGCTCACATCATTTTCATGGTTAAATGTGAGGAGTTAGTGAAAGAAAAGGATTTTCTGAAAATAAACACACAAAATTTGTCACAATGGTCCATGAAATGTTAGCCCTGAATATCTAATCACAGACCCAAAACAGGAAAAGAAGGTTAAATAAATGCCAACTAGACAGTTTTTGAGTGTCATCTTTGATTCTGAGGTCCATGGCATTATGACTGCAATTCCTGGTCATGCTGAAGCATTTTTAATTCAATGCATGGATCTAGTATTTACTGATTTAATAAGGTTAGAGGTATTACATTGTTGCTGCTACTGATGAACTGTCAGCAATTTAATCTAGGGAAAGTCTTACAGAGGAATATATATATTAGAGGAGAGAAGAGATTAAATAGCTATGTAAATATAATCCCATCACTACCCAGGACAGTGTCAAAAGCAAAGCCCCTTCTTTCCCAGACTACTTCGGGCTCCAGACATTTTCTTTTACTAAAGATGCTGGCTACCAGATGACTGAGGTGACAGTGAAGAGACTGCAGCAAAGTCTTGCAGGTACCCCTTCAAAACATCATCCACAGCATCATTAGCATTCAGGCAGGCAGAAAAGAAGGAAGAAAATTCACTCTCTCAAAAGCCATTCTGCCAAAATACAACCACAGGAGAGAGGTGTTAAAGGCTATATTGAAGTAAGGAGGTATTATAGACCCCAGAATCAGTAAAAGGAAGAAAAATCCACCTGAATTTGCTGAAACAAACACTTGGGGACTATTAGAAAGCTTTTTTGCGCTGCTGTGCTACCCTGCTTGTGGACTTATTTCCCCAACCTGGACACCTGGGAAGCATGTTGTGCTCCAGCTTTTCCCTGACTTTGAAGAAATGGATAATCTAAGAAGCGGTGCTGCTGCTAGGGTCAGTAAAACTATGCTAATTGGTGAACCTAATTGCTTCAAGCAGTCCTGCCTCTAAACAGGGAGAGCACAGTTGATGGAGTCAGTCTGTTCCTAATAAAATGAAGAAGCACTGAATTAAATTCCCAAGGAAGGCACTATAAAAGTTTCCACAGTGTAACCAAATGACTTCACCTATGCTATTACCCCTAAGATGACATCTTTGAAAGAAAGCAGACCCCAGTCAGGCTCCATATTCATAAATTGGCTGAGCTTAGGCCAGTGAATCTGGATTGATTTAAAAAGGCTTTTTCATCCTTCCAATCAAATGAAGTCATTGTTAATTAGATGCTTTCTGTTAACAATGTCACTCTTCTCCACATTACCTGCTCACACTTGCAGCGCCTCTAGTGCAACATCTGGAGCACCAGTCCCCCTGCAATCAGTCCTCACAAGTTGGGCTGGAGAGTGGTGGTATTTCCGCTTCGCAACCCCTGTCTGAAGGAAGATACGGTTCAGTGTGCTGCTGGTGAGACACATACCAACTTTCTATGTGAGAGATTATCAAACGATCTCTCCGAAAACTCTTCTCCCCAACATATATTTTAGTTAATGAACTGCCCAGCAGTTTCTGTGTTGTTCCCGCTTTGTAGATGGATGTTTTCAAAAATGCCTAACGCCACAAAGTCCGCTCCCACTGACTTCCCAGCTTCCTAAGACCAAGCTCCTCCTTGCACTGGAAAACCCGGGTTCAGGTGTCGCAGCCTCGCCCCGGGCCCTGCCACCGACCCGTCTTGGCCTGACGTGGACTGGCTCCGCCAGGCTGGGCGGACTAGAGGGCAGCCCGGAGAGAGCGAGGCTTAGACCGCTTTGCCCAGAGAGAGGAGAGAAGGCTACTGGGGCGGAAGGGCAAAGGGCGCTCCTTCGACGGTGGGTCTCGGAATCTTACATCTTCGGGCGGAGCCCGCCTCACACTCCCTCCTGACCCGTTCCCAAGATGTTTGCGGCTTCCACCTGAGGGGACACAAACTGCCGGCGCCGATCCCGGGAGAGGGCCCGGGGTTCGGGGCGCGTGCGCCACCCCCCGGTCGGGCCCGGCTTCCTTCTTGGATCTTCCCCGGCTCAGGCCCGGGACTTGGTGACTTTGGTCGGGGCCCTAAGCGCCAGCCAGAGCACGGCTCCTGCGGCCCGACGAGGTCCCGGCGGGCCAGCCCCGCGCCCCTGCCCCTCACTGCGCGGAGAGCCACACTTATGTCGAGCGTCCGCAGGCGGCCTCGCGAGCGAGGCTTCGCGCCCGGATGTGGGCCTCGCTTCCGGGAGCTGCTCCCTCCGCTCCGAGCTCGGTGCTTGCGTTCCCGGGCCTCGAGGGAAGGAGTGGAAGGGTCCCAGGGCCCCCACAAGGAGCTTGATTCGCAGAGTGCAGAGTTCTTTCGAAAGGAGCTCCCTTGTAGGGTGAGGAGCGTGAGGAGACACCCGGGGACAAGGGCCCTTGGCTGCGGCAAGGCCGGCGCCTCCTGGCTGCCCTCGCGGCCCGCGGCGCCGAGGACCACGCGGATCCCAGCGCTTAGGGGGCAAGTGGCTGTCACAGCCACCTCAGGGCCCCGGAAGACGGCGGGCCTTCAGGAAAGCCTCGGGGACCTGCTGCCCGGGAGCTCCTGAGCGAAAGTCGCTCACCGGGGCATGGACCTGGACCCGGGACCCTGTCCCTGACTCTGAGGTGTCTGAGGACGACACCACGGCCTTGGAGTCCTCCCTGGCTGGGGCTGCGGAGGAGCCGGGGCGCGGGGGGGGGGGGGGCCCTCCACGACTCAGCGACAGCGAGTCCTGGTTCCCTAGACCTCACAGAGGTCAGAACCATGCTAGATGAGGTGAGGCGGTGAGGGCGGCAGGGCAGAACCACACTGCGAAGACCGACTGCGAGCTGGGACTCTTAATTACTACATTTCTTCAAGTCCTTGACCCCAAAGCGTCGCCCTGTGACAACGTACGCCTTCTCCACAGGAGGGTTTGAGGAAACTAAGTTTCTTGAGCCTCTCATCCCTGTTGTGGGCTCAGGAAGAAGGGCAGAGGATAGCAGCAACCAAAACACCTGCCATCTCTCAATACAATAAAATATGGACAGTGACTGGAGTCATTTCGCCTTCCGTTTCCAGAGGGAGCTCAAACCTGAAGCATCAAGGTTATCCCTCAACAAAGTGTAAAACAGGATACTGTCAAAACCTGCCAGGGACACCACTGCCTGTCCCCGGAGGGGGTTCCCCTTTGCAAATAGAAAAACTGGTCTGATTTTTTTTTTCTTTTTCTCATTTTAGTGCTTGTGTGATTCTAGTTGGGGGATTGCGTAGTGTAATATACTGCTTTGACCCTCTGGAGACTAAACTAGAACTGAGCGAAGGGAAATCAGAAAAAAAGGAAGGGTCTGAGAAGTGGCGGACGGAAGGGAAGTGTGGGTGGGTGGCGTGCTGGGCCACTCTGACCCACGGCGCGACCCCTCTCCGGCGTGGGGAAACCTCCGGGCGCCCTGCCCCAGGGCACTGGGCTGACCGGCGAAAAGATGGCCACGTGCTCAGGGGCCGCTGGGCTCAGGCTCTGCGCTTCGGGGGCGACACACACACACACACACACACACACACACACACACACACACACACACACACCCCCCCCTCCCCGAGTGCCTGCCGCTCTTTTGTACTGCTGGGGTTCCTCTGAGGTTGTCCAGCCAGCGGAACCCCGCGAGTTCCCGCTGGCACGGCCCCTGGACTATTTCGCTCACACTGGATGAGCGGGCAGCTCCAGCCAGGGTGGGAGGGCAGCCGGGGGCGCCAGTCCTGTAGGGACCCAGCCCCGCTCAAGGCAAGGGCTGATAGAGTGACCGAGCCCCGGGAAGGGTGGCCTTCTACCTGGCTCGGGGCTCCTCCCTGCCATTCAGTCTGGTCATCTCTTATCACGGGCGCGCCCGGGTCCTTGCACCGCCCTGGCTCTCCGCGACCGCGCGACAACCCCCTGCCAACCCGAGCTGCGCGCCCCGGTGGTTCCCGGGTGCCCCCCCGCCCCAGGAGCCAGGGCTCACCCCTCACTGAAGCCTCTAGATAGAAACAGCAGAAGCGCCGTTTTTCTGCCTCCAGACCCTCCTCTTATCCTCCCACCCAGCAATGATTTGCCAGTGTTTGGGGTGGTTGGAGTTCTTTTAAAAGTATATCAAAGGATCATTGTCGTCTCCCCGTCAAGTCATTATGCCTTTATCCCCATCAATTAACCACACCTCAGAGGGCTGCTATTAAGAGCTAAATTGAGCTGCAAAAGTAGATATCCCGTTTCGGGCAGATGTTGTCATCTCCCGCTGAGATAAGCGGCCGGTGGGACCCGGCTGACAGCTGCCGCAACTGCCCGAGCCGCGCTGGACCAAGCTAAGGACTCGGGGCCGGGACGCTGGAAAGGCCACTGCTCTGGTGCTCCCGGGAACAGGGAGGAGCGGGAAGGGCCCCAGCTCTCAGACCTCGATCGCTGTGAATGTCAAGGGGAAGTGTCTCCAGAGTTGTGCCAGGGGAAACGCCGAGAGCGAACCTTGCGTTCTTGCGCAGATGGGGGCTGAGGGGGGAGGAGGAGGCACCGAAGTGAGTTTGTCTGGCAGCCCTCCACCAGCACACCCTCCTTCCTTTTCCTGCCGCTCCAGCCTTTTTCTTCGCTGGTACCTGACCCCCAGAACCCCTTGTGGAGGAAGGCAAAGTGCTGTGGGGATGCTGGAAGTGGAGCTAGGGAATCCAGGACAGAAACGTGCCGTTTAAGACAAAGGGGATTCGCTAGGGACCGGCGCGGCCTTCCGCCCAGATGTGCCTTTCCACTCTTTTCCCCCAGTCACTCCTGAGAACTTGGGACACTGGCTGTCGGACACAGCTGGGAGACCCTGGAGGGCTGAGGGAAGGAAGGAGCAGTTACTCTAGAAGTGAATACATGTGTGTGGACAGCTAGCTAAGTTTGCATAGGACTACATCTCTCCATACATGTGCCTTAAGCTTTTTCGGTTTTCCTCCCGACAGTGGCCACAAATTTAGCCAAGACTAAAGGAGATTAATTTCCCAGCATAATCCAATTAAAAGATTTCTGAAGTAATCTTTTGAAAAAATGGGGAGGGGGGAAGTGCGCGGCTAAAGAGGGGACTGGTTTTGATGACAGTGATTTATCGCCTGGGCGCAGCATGCGCTGGTCGCTCGCTCTCTTGCACACGCGATTTGACCAGAGCATCCCGTCAGTGCCTCCAGTCCAAACGTTCGCCTTTCTGAAAGGCAGCCATCCATCACGCCAACCTGGGCAGAAGAGAATGTGCGAGGGACTGGGATTGCTTACAAGCACCATAGACTTTTTTAAGTGCTATTAGATTTATGGTCTCTTTTTCGACGCCCATCCAGAGTAATTAGCACATATGTTCTAAATAGATGATAGTTTTGTGAGCAATAAAGCAATTACCCATCGTTGGAGCTGACAGTTCCTCCAACTAAACTCCAACCAGCAGCTAATTGGAAAAGTCATTTCAGCTCCATTGTCTGCAATTAGTCCTGCTAAACTACTACACCCCAACTAGCTGGTTTGAGGTTAATTTATTCCGTGTTGTATTTGCACGGAGAAGCCATTGCCACAAAGGGATTTGCCTTTTGCCCCTCCGAGCTGCGCCCTGGGACTAGAGGAGCAGGTGGGAGCAAGAGGCCAATATTTCGGGGTTGGGGTGGTTCCCAGGGAGGAAGAGCCTGGCCCTGGAGCAGCTTCAAGGTCAGTGTCCAGCACACTGGACACAGCTGACAGAGAAAGCCATTGTTTCTCCTGCTGGTTAGTAACTAAAGGAAACTGTTCAGTTCCTGCTACCAAAAGCTTAGTTTAAAATAAAAAATAAAGTCAGCATAGAAGAAGTGACTGGGTTCAGAGTGTACCTTTCCTCCTGCACACCCATTTCTGACCCCAGGTCATGAAACTGCCCCTAAGGGAAAAACACAGATTCAAAAACCCACCAAAACAGCAAAATTCCAAGCCCTCAGCTGGGAGAGGGAGACTCCAATTATTGGTGTGGCTCAGGAAAAGAAAAAACTAGAAAGGTTAGGAAGTCCTGCTTTTGCCTTCAGCCTTTCTGACCACAAGGTCACTTTCCCTTTTGAAACTAGAGTTACTCTGTGACTTTTTTTGTGTGTGTTTTTTCCTTTTCTCCTTCCTTCTTTCCTCATCTTTTTTTCTTCTTTCATTTCTGAAGTAAAGCCCAACAGGTCTAAGATTTGTGCACAGTGAGTGGGAAAATGTGTTAAACGCTGGTTTGATGCCCCATCGGAGCTTCCAAATATCAAGCGGCTGGGATTCTTCTACTTAATTTAATCTTTATTGGACAGGTCAGCTCCTACTCTCCTATTCATCAGGAAACCCCGGGAAACGATCCGTTGGGGTTCAGAATGGAGGGCGGAAAGCAGAGGAGTTAAAGAGGGATTAATCCTCTCTCACCCAACTTCGAACTTTGGAGCTGT